ACATATATGTAAGCACTATTCCATACAATATGTTAAGGAAGGTGTAAATAATTGATTTTCTTGATGGTTAACCATATTCAACAAGACATATTAGATTGCATAAACATATACGAAAGTATTTGATTATTCACAATAAGTGACACTGTACATGTAAAAGTAGCATTACAGAAGATGAATTAATGTCTAAAATTGGGATATAATTGTGTGTCTTCTTAGTGAGGAAGAAGAAATTGGTGTAAAAGTAGCATTACAGAAGATGAATTAATTGTGTGTCTTCTTAGTGAGGAAGAAGAAATTGTCTTTGTAAAAAAGAGATAATTTTTATTTTAAGAGTTTGAATTAATGAGAAAAATTATATGTTTGATAGTAAGACTGAAATATTTTGTTTATATTAAGGAATTGTCATTTCTAGGTCATGCTCGACAGTCTCAATTTCTTCCATAGTATATTTACAAAGAAATATGTAGGAAAAAACACTGCAACAATGCGAGATTTGAGTCTGAATTAAATCCATAATGATAAAATCACATGTGTTTTGGGCTTTTTTATTTCGTCATCTATATTCTATTTATGACTAAAGTAAACCTTAACACTTTCTTTTATCTTCATGAATTTAAAGTAAGAATACATGTCCATATACGGCATTGTCGGAATGCAGAAAGTATTTTTATATAAAAAGTGTGCATGCATTTAACATATGTTTACTGAATTCATAGAAATACTTAAGAGCAACAATACCCCAAGGAATGCTATAATTGCATTTCATGCAATTCATGAATGACATATATAAGCATTGTAAATATTTAAAATCGTGATTTGAAAAATAGTGCATGTGCGTGACATTACACTTGTGATAGTTTGAGATGCTTGATTGATCTAGAACTTAATTTCACAAATTCTTTTCACTCGATGAAAGCATTAATTTTGAAGGCCAAAACTGGAAGAGCAGCTGAAATAAGAGGGACAATAAGACAGTGAAAGCAAAGAAAAGAAACAGGAGGCAGTTAAGCGGTGGTGCAATAGATTTCTTGTAAAGCAAGGATTTATGAAAGGTTGATAAACATGAGGATACCTACATTAAATTGAGATTTTTTTTTCATTTTTAAAATAAAAATGAGTTGATCTTCAATGGAAAACAGCAATAAAATTATTATAGCTACATTTACACATTAAAATTATCCTATAAAAAACTATTATTAATCGTGAATATTTTTGCACTCCTAATCTCCTGATCCATACAAAATGCCATTCATAGTAACGAGCAACTCATATAACAACCTTCCTCACCCAAACCCACTCACCTCCCCTAGCCACCAATAGCAAAGAGTAATTTAAGAAGATATCAGCAAAGGATTTGGCAGATTAAAAGAGTGATGCGGACGTAACTGCTGCTTCTCGACTGGTAGACTCTTTCCTTCCTCTGGATCGAACGTCCTGCTCAAGCAAACACCTCCAGAGAGCCAGTCGGCACTACTTCTCACAAAATTTGTCGCTCAACTAAAGTGGGAGCCAATACTTTGTTACCCTAGGTCCATATATGTTGTTTTCAATGTGTCGAAGTTAGTTTTTCATGTATTTCTCTTCAGGATAGTTGTCCGCTTCCGGTGTTTCCCTACTAGGGTTGTATTCGAAGGCGAGAAAGTACACTAGTTGTAACTCGTCTGAGGTGGTGATCTTCTCCCAAGGATGGTATAGTCCTACGGCTGCAGTTTGACCACGTGGAGACATTTATCATTGAATTCCCTTCTCTTGCAATTGGGCGAGTTTGACCACGTGGAGACATTTATCCTTGAATTCCCTTCTCTTGCAATTAGGCGAAGGACAAGAAAGTACACGAGTTGTAACTCGTCCGAGGTGGTGATCTTCTCCCAAGGATGGTATAGTCCTACGGCTGCAATTTGACCACGTGGAGACATTTATCCTTGAATTCCCTTCTCTTGCAATTAGGCGAAGGACAACTTAACAGAAAACTAGTTGATATTACAATAGGATAACGAACAGAGCTGTGTGAAGAGATTGTGGTCGAGCTCATTGTCCAAATAGGGCTTCAATGCGATAAAGCCATGATTTACGTCGAAACGGAGTCAGATAAGATTAACACATGAGTCAGATTTAACCACGCTCTTTTTTTTATCGCATGATTTACGTCGAAACGGAGTCAAATAAGATGAACACATGAGTCAAATTTAACTACGGTCTTTTTTGCATTTGGTTGGTTCTACAGTAAATCCGATCGTAAATCCTATTAAAACCCCTCTACCAAAAAGCCCCTTTGGAAATGAACCAAATTCTTGACACCCTAGGGTTTTCAAGCAGTAGAATAGTTAAAAACAAATTTTAAATTTTCTACAAGCATGTAAAAGTTGTTAGCTATTCCTGCTCTAAAGCAGGCAACTTCAAGTGTAACGGCCAACTATCGGAAAAAAAGAAAGCAAGAATATAATTATTGCCCTAGAGATGCTTTCAGTTACAGCAGGATGGAAGATAACTTTTAAAGGCATCAACCATTCCCTAAGATATGGATTTAGATATTATGTTTACTAGATCAAAGCAGCGAGTATCTACAGATTTCTCACTGCAACATAGATAAAGAATCTTAACCTGCCGAATCCAACTAAAAGAATACAGTAAAAAAGTGTTCACACAGAGAAAGTGAGAGAAGGTCACAAGCCTATAATTGAGCATGGACGGCATTTGAAGAAAATCTACGAACGGCGGAGGATAATAGCAGCTTTCCTAGGTATGAACTCCAATAGCGGCTTGAAAGAACCGCTCTTTCTAGTCCGAGATACAGGAATCGCCATTGCTGCTTTAGAACGAAAGCTGCAAGTATTCTGATACAAGCTACAGTTCAATAGATTGGCGGTGAGAGCCAATAACAGTCAAAGAAACCATTATTTTAATACCTGCACTTGTTTTCAGCGGCTTTGTTGGGGGGACAGGATGATCGCTCATGTCTTTAGCGATGCCAGTTTCTGTCTGTCAATGAGCATTTCTCTGCTTGGCCCTTCTGGCATGATTGTCCCGGCAAACTGCTAAGCCATGGTTAAATCCATGTACCACCTTCTAAATCTCCTTCTAAATTTTGAAATTTGACAATAATTCTCATAACATGTGAAATTGAAGAAATATTTCTGTCATGTGATCTTTAAAGGCTTCAATTCTTGTTTGATCTTTGTTCGAAGATAACTTGATCATACTTCTGATCATATTTAATGATGGTCCAATTATTATTCAATCATCATTCAATCATTATTCAATGATACATTGAGGATGGTTCAAAAATAATTTTTTTCTTATTCTATTACAATTTAATCATTTTTTTTAAAATGAAGGATCATTGTTTGAAGATGTTTTGATCATTATTCATTGATTGTTTGATCATTGAAGATGCTTCTTATAAGGATCAATCCTTTATTTTTTATTTGATTGTCATTCGATCATAATTCAATCATCATTCAAAAATTACTTGATTATTTATCAAAAATAATTTGATCTTTATTTGAAAACTATTCGATAATTATTAAAAGTTGCTTCAAGCAAGGATTGATCCTTATTTGATTTTTGGTAATTTATTATTCATTCATGGTTTGATCAACATTCAAAATATGTTTAACCATTATTTAGAGTTGGTTTGATATTTATTCAATTATTATTTGAATGTGCTTCAAGAGGGTTAGAACATTGTCTGGCCATATTTTGAAAATGCTTCGAGGATGATTTAACTTTATTCAATAATATTTTATCTACATTTTCTATTTCCGAATTAAGTTATTTATCTTGATATATATTTATTTGCCATATCTAATCATACTTTATGATAAGTATTACAATGCTCAACTTATATTAGAACTAGATATATAGTCTGAGTTTAATAAATTCATGTCAAAGCTAAGAAATCCCCCTTTAGTTAGTTCTTCAAAGCTTTTGAATTGTTGTTTGGTGCAATAGGTTAGCAACTATTATTGAGAATGGTTGATGATGTTAAGAATGAGCGGTACTTCATTATATTCAACATTTAGGGGAGAAAATAATATTTTGGAATTATTGAGTTTGCTTTCATCATTGAACTATAATATATGGAATTCACTTATATTATGAAGCTATAAGATATGAGTGAAATAGTAAGTTGTTAAATGATTGCCTCTTTGAGGATAATAACTTCAATATTTTAGATTTCTTGAGAGCTTTGTTAAAGTGCACTAAAAGAGATAATGTTTGGAAGGTTGGACTATGCTTCTTTAAAGATGATGTCCTCCTCGACCAGTAAATCTAAAGTGTTGTTTTTGTAGAGATGTTTTATAAGGTTGAAGAAAAGAATGTATTTTTTAAGTACCCATGGGGTAAGCTGGCATGAGAGAAAACACTACGATTGATAAAGAGGGATATAATATACTATGAGACCATTATCTTGAAAAAGAATGCCCCAACCTGATACACTACAATTGGATATGAAATATTAATATTGTATTATTCTTCTAAAACCATTATTGAGTTTGGAGAGATGATGTGTTAAATTCCTTGAGGAGAAAAGGCCAAAGATGTTTAGATGGAAGAGCAATAAAATGCTTGCATTCAAGAATTACTTGGCATTACTTATTAATAAAAACATAAGTGTGTATTTTTTCTTAAGCAGTATTAGGTGATTTTTATAATTTAATTCAAAAAAAATTTTAAATTTTTCTTTGCAGTTGATTGTCTATTACACAACGGTGTACAAAGCTAATGAGGATGTCATCTTTAACACTAAGTTCCTACTCTTTTTATCTTAGCTAAATAAGTAAAGAAGATAATAGACACCCCTGTTATTTGTCGAGGTGGCAGTGAAAGCACAATTAGCTACCAGTCAATTCATTCCATCATATAAAGGGTTCAAGTAACTTGTGTTAATATTTAAGGGCTATATAATGGCTAAATTAGGCTAGAGAATAATTTTGCCTTATTAACAAAATCTTTGACTTAGTTAAAGTTAAATAGGAGGTGTAGAGGGAGGAGTAAGAGATTTAGCATGACATGGAGAGAAAGGAGGTGGAGATATGGAACTAGTATTTTTCCATTGTGTCTGTAGACATGAAGGTTGAGAAGGAAGGAATGTCAACAAGTTCCTTGCAATTATATGTCAGAGTGTTGCATAATTAATACATTTTTAATAAAATTCATAAAGATATAAGAGATATTTTATTGGAGATTTTATAAATTAATAAAAAAAAAGATAAATAAACATATAAATCCGTGGAATATTGATGTCCTCCACCCAGTTGATGAATAATAGTTATCTTCCTTCACTCTTAGATATCAGCATTGGTTAATAAGTATAAAGAAAAAGATTTATGATTGGGCAATGGAAGAATAATATATTGGTTCTAGTAGTGAAATAATTTAATAAAATGGTTAGATAGTAAAAAAAAATAGTTTACTTCATTACAAGGTTAAGAAATAGGATCTTCTTTATGCTAACTCAAATTTCTATAGCTTAAAGCATTATAATTACTTTATATTACCTAATAAGTCAGAGTGTATGACACTAACTTGATACCTATTGATTAAACATTATTATGTAGAATAATAACTTCCATGTATAAAAATTCAAGTAAAATGACTTCTTTCTTTAGATAGCCTAAAGATGCTCTCACGCATTCCATTATAAAGGATGAAAAGTTCCTAAATTTATGGATTGATGCTTAACTTGTATATTTTCCAATAAATTTAAAGAAGCTCATTAAATCATATATTAGATTGTAGCACCAAAGAAGACATTTCATTGTATGATTATGACCTACACTCTTGCTTCTTAAGGCATACCTTAAAGTTAATGGTGACCCCACTACGTAAGTGCTTCATTAGGTATTTTGAGTAGTTAGGATTATATAAAAATATATATAAATTATTCTCTTCAAAATCTCATTAAATGTGGAGGTTTACCACAGACAAGGCTCCCAAGCCTATTATTTCAAAAATTAATTAAAACTGAAGTAACTTAAGTATTTCATGTTTTTATCGTTCAATGGTATTTTATGTTATATTTGTATTAGAGATTATGAAGTTAACACAAGACAACATAGTATATACTTAATTTTAAAATAAAAATCTTTTGGATGCTACAATTAATCATAATAAACTATATAGAATTTTCACATGGTAATGTATATTTATAGGTCCATTTAAATATAAATTGCTTTTCTTATATCACATCCCTACAATATAGATTTATTTCATAGCACAATGCATCCATGTTTTTATATGTTATGTTATGAATGTTGCCTTATAGCTCTTCAATTGCATATTTTATGCTTATTATTTAGTTTTAAATAAAGTAATCATAATCTAATCAATAATATGTTTTGCCTCTCATATCATATTATAGAAGCCTATTTTAATCAATAAAGTGCCCACTCAACTTTTTCATGCAATCATGAGATCTATAGATTAAATTGATTTCTAAAAAAAGAGTAGAACCTTTATAACAAGCAAATGTTAATAATATTGTAATGCTTTTTTAAAAGATTCTTTAAAGTCTAGGATTAAAGCATAATGATTAACAAGAGTAAACCTCTTACTAGCCAAAATGATTTTTTATTAAACCAAAATGAGCCTTCATTAATGTTTCCAAGTATATTAAAGGTCATTACAAACTTCACTTAAGTATTTCAATGCTCCATAAAAAGGCATAGATTTTAGATCCTTATTATAGTGGATCACTCAAGGGTTTGTGACTCTTTGTAAATCACTTCATAAGTCATCATAAAAGTATGCACAAATGTCATAATTTGAAAACTTGAAAGATAGACTCTAGCTATTTGAAATCCAATAAAGTTTAAAAATTAAGCAAATTTTAAATGTTGGCTTATTATACAAACATTAAAAAAATGTAATTAAAAATTTTAAATGTTGGTTGATTATACAAACATTAAAAATTAAGCAAATTTTAAATGTTGGCTGATTATACTAACTTTAAAAAATGTAATTAAAAAATTTAAATGTTGGTTGATTATACAAACAATAAAAAAATGTAATTAAAAAAAATTATAGTAAAGATTACTCCATCTATATACATTAAAAAAATATTATTACATATTTTCGTGGAAGAAAAAAATTAAACTCCAAGAATCTTTATGATTTAATTATTTAGCTAATATATGTTATGCTTAATTAAATATATTGTTTTCATTCCATTCTCTTTTTATTTTTAAATGAGTCACTGACTTGCACATCATTTTATACTTCCCTTTTCTGAATAAGTCTATCTTACAGATCATGTGAATGGTCAGAAGAAGAGAGGAACCGAAAAAGAACGACATATGACAAAGACGACAAATAAGAGAAAGAACGTGGAGAGCTTACATGCCATAAAAATCACAGGGATAAGTCAAGTATGTCCGCTCAAACAAAATAGGGCAGAAGCAACATGGACCAAAATTTGTGAAACAATACCAATGTATACTACATACAACCAAAGATTCAGGTGTGTTCGTCTATTCTGGGGTCTAGAGTGCTCCCAAGAGAACGTAACTCACATGGTTAATCACATCTTGGGGGTTGCCCATGAATACTCTTGATCTAAAGGAGTTTTACTTACATTAGTAGTGACGGATAGCACAGGGCTATTAAAGAATAGTTATTTCACAGGAGATTGCTTCGATGCCTTCAAAGCTCACACTAAGTTATGGAGGTGAAGTAGTACAATTATTTCATAGAGGAATGCTCTGATGCTTTCAACATTTGCGCTAAGCTACAAGGGAGAAGTGCAAGTCTCTCATGGCCCCATGTAGGTAGCGGAGTCATTAGCAAACTGAGCTGTACGAAATAATCAAATCATACAAATGGGAAATCCATATTGTCAAAAGCACGTCTAGGCTATAAGGGCAGATGACAAATCATCATATCCCAAATGGGTGGTAGTTCATCACTAATCAGGCCGTCAAGATGATACCAATAAAGGCAAGAATAGCAACAGGGCTCAAGAAGGGTAGTCAAAAGAAAAGGAGGAGTAATCCCTAGGAAGTAAAGGTAGTTGGGTCAGGGTACCAAGGACCTGTCTTCCCAGACCACTATGACCCTAAGTCTACCTGGTCGTGATGATATTCGACTCAACACGTCTAGAGATCCCCAATTAGTAATCCGTGAATTACATTATCCACAGTAATTCAAAGGTCAA